GCGCACACTCGGTTTAACATTTGCAAGAGTTTCGCGGAGTCCCATGGTCAGCGCGCCACACAATGCGTTCTTGGAAATATTCAAATATGTCAGGGCGCAACAGTTCCGTTGATTCGCGGTGCTGGAGTCCCAGAAACGGTGCTCTGGCACGATTCAGGATCGACAACCCGCGACAATCGAGTTGGTTCGTGGCGTTGGAATCCCGAAGATGGTGTTTTGCCGCGCTTCAGGATCTTCAATCGGTTGTTTCCCAACGGGGCAATTCGCCCAATGGTAATGAATCCTTGTAGGGGCCTATGAAGGGGGGGGGAGCTTGGAGGGAGAGTTTATACCATCATCGCTGATGGGTTTTGGGCTTACACTGCTCCTCCTCCTCCTCATCCTCCTCCTCCTCCTCCATTGTTTTTTCTTCTAGAGAACTCTTCCCCAGGCCTGGCTGAGAATTTCGCCGGAAACAAATTTCGCAAATTGTGATCCCGAAAACTGGAATATGTTTTCGGGCGTAGCCCGAATGTGTTTCTCGCGAGGTAAACTGACTGAACTGAGCAGAACTGAAAAGACTGGTCGCACCCGTTACGCGACGGTTTTATTCTCGGCCGCAACGTGCGCAACCTATGGCGCAATCGACAGGAGACGGTTTGATTCTCGGCCGCCGAAGGCGCAACCTATGGCGCAACAGATACGAGACGGTTTTACTCTCGGCCGCCGAAGGCGCAACCTATGGCGCAACCAATGGGAGACGGTTTTCTTGTCGGTCGCCGAGGGCGCAACCTAGAGCGCAACCGATAGGAGACGGTTTTACTCTCGGCCGCCGAGGGAGCAACCTATGGCGCAACCGATCGGATACGGTGTTATTCTCAGCCGCCGAGGGCGCAACCTATGGTGCAACCGATAGGAAACCGAGCTGGAGCAGGAGGAAGACGAGGACGAGGATGAGGAAGAGGACGTGGAGGAGGACGACGACGATCAGGATGGGGAGGAGGATGGGGAGGAATACGAGTAGTACGAGGACGAAGTGTGGGTATTCGAATGCGTGCGGGGCTACGCCCTATTTATGCTCGCCTTTTGGGCTGGCGGTGGGGCCCAAGCGGTAAGCTGTCTTGTGATTTGAATATGTGGGCTTCGCTTTGGTGCCGCGCGCAATCAACTTAAAAACTTGCAGCAGCTTCGTCGACGCACGCAGGTACATTGTCAAAAGGTGGCTCTCGATTTAGCGCCGCCCGCAGTGTGAAGGATGGGGACCGGCTCTTTTTCAACGTGTGGTTTCCGCTGTAGTGCCGTGCGCATACATACGACCCAACCCTCAACATCCTGTGCAAAACATACATCGTACATAAAAATGCGCACACCCATGCGGCCCAACCTTTAGGCATCCTGCGTAAACCGCACCATCCGACGCAAAATATTTTCATGCGTCCACCCATACTACCTAACCTTCATCATCCGATCCCTCAACATCCGACACAATATATGAAATTCGGTACACTCCACCCGACCGGCCCCCCCCCATCCGATGTAACAAACTGCATTCGGTGTGCATCTGCTGATGTTCACCATAGGCACACCCTGTGGCCCCGAAGAGCCCCTGGGCACCAAAACCAAAGGCATACAAAACAAAACATCGGTAACATGTACATAATCCGCAACCGTGCCGCGAGGCACGAAACGGGCGTGTCCTCAAGTCCTTTGCCCAAACTTCTAAGCCTCAATCCTCACTCCTGAAAGCACTTAAGGGGGCTGGACCGCAACTTCTCCAATCTCTCGGGGCTTGTCGCGGTTCCCTTTGGGTTGCCCGCGTGTTCCCTGGGCTCCGGGAAATCTTGTCGCATGAGTCTTCCGAGCCAGAGAGGGCCCCAAGGCGAGCCAAGAGAACTCTAAGAGGCCCTCGAGACGGTCCAACGGAAGCCCCAGACTGCCGAACGATCTTTCGCTCAAGACTGCCCCGAGATGTCCCAAGAGGCCTCATACGCCCCAAGAGGCCTCCAAGAGGTCTCCAAGAGGCCCCACGAAACCAAACTTGTGTATATTACTTGGTTATTTCCATAGCCTAAACATGGCGTTCCCGCCTTTTCGGTTTTTCGACGCTCCAAGACGGCCCACGAGGCCCCCCAAATCGCCCCTAGACGGCTCCAGGGGCACCCAAGACGGCCCAAAAGGGCTCCGAAACGGCACAAGAAGCGCCCACAACGGCCCAAGAGGATCCAATGACGGCCCCATGAGGGGGCCCAGATGGGGAACCCGAGCGGACATTTCGAGCCCTCGGCTTCGAGGGGCCCCCAGGAGGCCTCAAGGGGTACCAGGAAGCCCCCAAGAGGCCCCAAAGGGCGCCCAAGAGGCCCCTAAGAGGCCCCTCGAATGGGCCCCCACATGGGCCCCCAAAGCGCACCCAAAAGGCTCCCAAGATGCCCCCAGGTGCTCCCAAAAGGCCACCGAGAACGCTCCGAAGAAACCCGAAGGAGCATCCCTCATATCTCTGACCCACAACCCAGGCATGGTGGCGGGATGGCCCGAAAGCTATTCGATCCGCGGCCCACTGTGTTTGTCACAGGGGGGCCCGGCGCGCTAGACGCTACAATTTCTGGTCTTGGTTCTTTTCCAAAGAGACCCCCCTGGAGCTCCGGCCCAGCCCGCTGGCCACCCGGAAGCGCACAAAACCCGGAAACGACCTCTACGTCCACAAGAAAATCTTCGGGTCAATGCCTTTCCCGCTACAAGATGGCCCTAAACGGCCTGCAAGACGGCCCAGATGGCCCGAGGTCGCCTCCAAGTTCGCACAATCTGGTCCAAGACGGCCTCCACGACGGCCCAGGAGGGGACCTGACGGCCTCCAAGACGGCCCAAGGACGGCCCCAGAGGTCCTCAAGACGGTCCAAAGAGGGCTCTACTCTAAGACGGCCCAAGAGGCCTCCAAGACGCCCAAGATGGCCTCCACGATGGCCCTGGAGCACCCCAAGAAGGCCCAACGTCGGCCCAGACAGGCCTCCCAAACGGCTTCCGACAGCGCCAGACGGGCCAGGAGGACCCCCACACGGCCAAAGGCGCCCCCCCCAAGAGGCCCAAGGAGGCCTCAAGATGCTTCCAAAAGGCCCTTAAGAAGCTCCAGGAGGCCCCATGAAGCCCCCAGAGGCTCCAAATATGTTTCCATCCTCCTCCTCCTCCTCCTCCTCCTCCTCCTCCTCCTCCTCCTCATCCTCCTCCTCCTCCTCCTCCTCCTCATCCTCATTATCCTCATCCTCTTCCTCTTCCTCCTCCTCCTCTTCCTCCTCCTCCTCCTCGTGATCTTCCCCGCCATCCTCTCCCGAGTGTTCCCCGAAGGGTTTCTACAAAGGCCCAGGGAATACATGGCCCGATAGTTTGGCAGAACTCTTGGCCGAACGCTCGGCCACATTGGCGATTCCAAAAGGCAGGGTGCGGCGGTGATTCGCCGTAGGCGTCTTCGATCAATCGAAACGTTTCGGGACCCCCTCGCCGACTCCGATTTGGGACCAGGTTGCCCCGCGCGCTTCCAGCCGCCCCAAGACGCTCCTAGGCGTCCCCAAACACTACAATCGTCACCCAAAGCGCTCCCAAGCTCGCCGTCGCCACCAGCAGCAACAGCATCCACATCCTCATCTTCCTCGTCCTCGTCGCCGCAGGAGGCCTCAAGGAGCAAACGAATTCAGATCGCGCTGGCGCGTGGACCACAAACCGGTTCTCACAATGGAGCTCTCGCTGTGCTGGCGCCGCACACCATCGCTTTACACAACCAAAAAACACATAGAAGCGGCCCGTTTCCTGAAAGGGGAGATCGCGCCGGCGCCTTGCACACTCGGCTTCCAAAGTGTCCTTAGCTGCGCGAGTGGATGGCGAGTCTTTCCGAGACGGTGGAGGCATTGGACAAGGAACTCTTAGATCAGGAATCCAGGGTCTGAGAGCCAGGGAATTCCAATCGTGGATCGGCCATTGGAATCACCGCCACCCTCATCAGATACCGAAGCCTCCAGGATCTGCAGCCTCGTGGGCACACTCCTTATCGAACGCCCCCCCCGATCTGGGTCTCCCCTTGCTTTCGCGCGCATTCTAATACAAAGTCCACCATCTACACTCGTGAAACCCTTCCTCGACCGGCCCGGCGTTCCACATTGTGCAACAACTAAAACGGGTGGAGGGCGGCTCCTCTTTCGAAAAAGGGCTCTCGCGTGAGACTTCCGCGAAGCATACGTCCACGAGTTTGACCATCTTGCAAGGCTTAGACGGGTGGAAGGCATGCTCTTTTCAAACAAAATGAGGATGTCCCTGGGCTTCCTTGAAGGGCTCTCGCGTGGGACTTCCGCGGATGATACGTCCACGATTTTGAAAACTTGCAACGCTTAGACGGATGGAGGGCACGTGCTTCTCAAAATGGGGTTACCCTGGGCGACCTCGGAGTGGAGGGAGGATCCTTGGCAACAGGCGTCCACAGCTGAGTGGCGAACCGACCAGCCGCCCATCATTCAAGGGCGACCGCCCGCAGTAAAAAAAGCGTTGCATGGATTCATGAAGAGGAGGCTTGGGACGTGAGGGTGTATCGCAGCGTCGGTTTACGCATCTTCGGTTTACTCAGGTCCTCCCCCTCCTCCTCCCTCCTACTCTTCCTCCCTCTCGTCCTCCTCCCTCGCGTCCCTCTCCTGCTCCTTTCCCCTCCCCCTGGTCCAAGAGATCTAACACAGTATAGCTGGAACGATGTGTGTGTGCATGCGTTCTGTTTAGGTGGCCGTCTCAATCGCTACAGATCTCCTGCATTGCTGCAATGCTGACGTGCCCCATCAGCTCCCTGCACCACGCGTGCTCCCTGATGCTTCAGACCACATCGTAAACCTGTATGGGTAATGGATCCTGAACAACGCTGCACCATCTACGATGCTGCATGTCGCGTTGCTTCTTGTGTTCTCAACCCATGCAAAGATATGTTCGCACGCGCTCGAATTCAATCTCAAAACAACATCTCCGCTGTCATGAACATCCCGCCCCCTCCCTTCCGCGAAAAAAACACCACGGAGGCCTGCGGTGGGTGTAGTGCCAGGTATGCTTCCACTGCTGCCTTTCCTGCCATTGAGCAACTGAACGAAGAGAATGATTGGCAAGAAGCTGCGCGGATGAGAGTGTCGAATTTTCTTATAGCATCGATTCAGATGCTGCGTCGCCCCACTCTAGACATGGGATGCGCGAAGTCCCTTCAAACTGGCCATGCCTCCATATTACAAATCGGCGTGCCAGGTCGACTCGATCCTCCAGCAGCTTGGAAGGGCCAACTCGCGCGCGCCTACCACTCGGCCCTGATCCAAGAGCACCCGTTTGGTATGACTACTTTTGCAGTGTGGTAGCTTTGTTCTTCGGTCCAACCCGTTTGCAAAAGCTTCTGTGACCAACAATTTGGAACCACAAGCACACGTTGCCCGCTCGCCCTGTGGTTCCTTCATGCGCTGCTCACACACACACACACACACACACACGCGCAGCAGTCAAACAATCATACAGCACGAGTGGACTGCAATATCTAATTAAACTGCGTAGATGCACTGCCTAGCTCGCACCTGCTGAGATGCCGTATCGCTCGCATCGCGGAGCCAAGTTTGCGCAGGGGGTCTGTGGCACCCAATGCTGCGAGCCACGGTCCCATGCACGGTCGGCCAAGCATCACGCCAGATCCGAGGAAGTTTCCTCAGCCAGCCGAGAAGACACCACTCACACTGCGCTGATGTATTCAACAATTGCACCTCTCAGCCCTTGGCGGTGGCCCCACCGTCGTCAAGCGACAGCCGCATTCCACTTTGAGACAGCCCCAGGGCACACCCCCCATGCCACCCACACCGCCAACGAAAGCCCCGGACATCCCAGGTGACTCTCGGTGGCCTAGCGCGGGCTGCAATGGCACCACCTGGGAAGCCTGGAGCACCGAGAAGAACCACCTTTGTCGGTGGTGTGTGGTTTCTTGGCATATCGATTGCGGGACGGGTCAAACCGAGAGATTCGACAATCCGATTTTTACTCCAGCGCTGGAGCTGTCGTGGCACCAGGCCGCTCGTCAAGATCTTGACTGGAAAGCGGCTGCGGTCGCACGATAAAATTCTGCTACCTGTATGCTGCTGCTCAGGTGCCAGCCTGTGCTCAACCTGACTAACTGAGGGGCTCAAGATGGCCGCCTCGCAGATTGGCTCCTGGACTGCCACGGAGCCGCTTCAGACGGCGCCCTCTACGTCCCGAAAAGCTCCCAGAGGGTCCTCACATGACGCCCCCCCAAGACGGCCCAGTGCCCCCAAGACGGGACTTTCCAAGGCGCAAGGCGGCCCAACGCTAGACCTAGACTGGCCCAATACTGGCCTGGGACGGCCCCTATACCAGCCCAAGACGGCTCCTGGGTCTCCAAGACGGACCGCAACAATCGCGCGACGCCAATGCCATGCCACAACACACCGTCGACACGCAGCTCAACTGATTCCCAGGAGCCCCCAAACGGGCCCACAAAGAGGCCCATGAAAGCGCCGCATCAATCATGTGACGCAGACGTACTGCCACGATACAGTGTCGAAGCACACTCTCGCCCCAAATCCCAGCGGAGTCTTCGAGTCACTTCCACCTCCTCCTCCTCCTCCTCCTCCTCCTCCTCCTGCTCCTCCTCCTCCTGCTCTTCCATAGCTTCTTCCTCCTTCGTATCCTCCCTCCTTATCCTCCCCCTCACCTTCTCCCCCTCCAAGGCTTCTCCGGGTTGCCCAATAAGCATGGTGGGTGAATCCCGTGGCGTGGACAGGAACGCTTTGTCCGTAGCGAGTCGTGTGGGGCTGGATTGGGTTAGGGCGTCTGTTTGGTGTGCGTGTGGGGGGGGGGGGGGGGCAGAACGGGCCGTAGGAAGGGGGTGGCGGCTTGGGAGGGGGGACCTTATTGCTCATTGAATGGCTTGGGTTTGACGAGTTCGAGACACTTCAGAGTGAGCGCATTTACTGCTCATTCCTCGGGGGTGGCGTCCGTTATCCTGGAGGGGTGGGGACGATGGAGGCTCACGGTGAAGAGGGAGGGCGGCGTGGCATGTGGTGGCGGATACGCGTCATCGACGACGACCACGGCCACAACGACGACGACGACGACGTCGTCTGGACGCCTCCAGGGGCCTCCAGAGGTGATCTCTGGAACTCCTCGGAGGCTGCTGGCAATCTCTCCAGAGGCTTTCGGAGGTCTAGGACGACACTCAAACATCATCATAATAATGCACAGCTGTGCGGCGGACCAGGACCATGCCTCCCTGCGCACGACACAACCCGATTGCAAGCACCGCGCGCAGCCTGTGAGCAGAACGTGCCTGCAAGCACCGCAATGACTATTCACCTCGCACCCTCGTCCGGGGGGGGCGCCCAGGCTACGAATCTTCGATTCTGGGCGTAGCCCGAATTTGTTTCTCGCGAGATAAGCTGACTGAGCTGAACTGGGCTGAACTGAACAGACTGATCGCACCCGTGGCGCGACAGCTTTATTCTCGGCCGCCGAAGGCGCAACCGATGGCGCAACCGATCGGAGACGGCTTTACTCTCGGCCGCCGAGGGCGCGACCTATGGCGCAACCGATAGGAAACGGTTTTACTCTCGGCCGCCGAGGGCGCAACCTATGGCACAACTGATAGGAAACCGAGCTGGAGCAGGAGGAAGACGAGGACGACGAGGAGAATAAGGAGGAGAACGAGGAGGAGGTGGACGACGACGATCATGATGGGGAGGAGGACGGGGAGGAATACGAGTGGTACGAGGACGAAGTGTGGGTATTCGAATGCGTGCGGGGCTACGCCCGACTTATGCTCGCCGTTTGGGCTGGTGGTGGTGGGGCCCAGGCGGCGAGCTGCCTTGTGATTTCATCTGCGAAACAACACAGATCTGCGATAATATTTGAGCACCACGGCGTCGCATGGCCGCGTCATGTTGCAAGCGCGGAAGCATGCCTGCGAGCACAAGCAACATGATTGTGAGCACCAAGGCGCCGCGAGGGCCAACGAACGTCTGGAGGGCACCGCGGCCGCAATGTGCACGTGAGCACCAGAATGCGACTGCACTCGTCGCGCTATGCCTGCGAGCGCCACGATGGTGCGCGAGAATCACGGTATGCCAAATCCGTGGCCATCGCAGTAGCCCCCGTGCGCCACCACGCTCCTGCGAGGAGGGGGACACGCCCCCCCCCACTCCCCTGTACGCCCGTGACCGTTACCAGGGGGGGGGTATCGCACGTTACCCCGCAAGGGATAAAACACAAGCTCGACGGTCGGGACTTCTGCTTAGCGTGTCGCGGCGGCGGCCCTGGCTGCACGCCGTGCCTTGCAAGCGGATAGCGTGTCGCTCCGCTCCGCGGGGCGGAGGGCTGGGCAACGCTTGGCACGCTGATGCTTGGGGCTGGGACGTGGGGGAGCGTCTCGCGCAGAAACACGGTAAGCCAGAACCAGCGATGCGGCACGCGAAGCGAGAGTTCCCCACCGTACTCATTGTGCAGCCCCCCTCGAGCTGCAGCTGGAGCGATTTTTTTATGTTCGGCGATGACGGGCGTCATTGGGGGGGGCGGGGGGGGGGCAGGAAAGTGCTGAGAATCTAATTCGACGTTCTTCCCTCCTCCCTCCTCCTCAACCTCCACCTCCTCCTCCTCCTCCTCCTCCTCCTCCTCCTCTTCCTCCTCCTCTTCCTCCCCCTCCTCCTCGTCACTCCCTGTCGTGCGGGGTGGCGCTACAGTGCACGTGCGCAGAATGGTCTATTGAATCGGTCAACTTGGTTATCGGACGGCCCATTTAGCTGGAGCCTCCTGGACGCAGATGGGAGGAGCTAGGGTGATGCGGGCGGACTCGGGAGGACTCGTAGATTCCAGTGGCGTTCCTGTGTCCATAAGGATTCCTTACTATTGTTTTCTGTGGAATCCACAAGCGCTCCATTTTGTCATAAGGGTTCCTTCTAACATCGTATATACAACAGTGGTGCTGTGTTGCACACGGTTGCTGTGATGCACACAAGCGCCGTGGTGTACACAGGCACTGCAATACAAGCAGGCATTTTGGTGTACACTGGTGCTGTGTTGCACACGGCGAAACGTGACGTCATCGACCCCCTCCACCCCCCCCGGATGATTGCCGTCATCGGCCCGGAAGAAAAAACAGGCTCCAGCCGCATCCGCGCGCACGACGACGATGAGCGACGAGCGACGAACGAGCGACGAGCCACGAGCGACGACGACGACGATGACGACGACCACGACGACGACGACTGCGGACCAGACTCCAATGCGGATTCCTACGCGGACACCTACGCGGATCCCAATGCGCACGGCGGCAGTGCCCAGAGCGCACTGGGGGGGGGAGCGTTACGTCATAGGAGGGAGGGGGGGAGCGGCGGCCATGACGCCCGTCATGCCCCAAGCAAAAAAGAAACGAGCTCCTGCTCGAGCACATTCAGTGCTTCTGCGGGGGGGCGCTCCAGAGTCGCACGGGTGCGGGGGAGGTCGGGCGGCCAGGAGGCAGTTCTGCAACCCTGCCGTCCAAATACAGACCCGCTGCTCGGAACAGCGGCAACGGATCGCACGCGCAAGCAACCCGAAGCTCTGCATGTCCGCCACCACGATGGGTGCGTTATCGCTGCCAGTGTAAAAACATCCATCCGAAGATGTTGCTTCGACGCCCCCCCCGGCCCAACATTTCAATTTTGCCTTCGCGGCCACTGTATGAATGCAAGCATCGGTATGATGCACGCCCATAACTCAAACCCGTACACCCACACGCTCGCTCTCTCTCTCTCTCTCTCACACGCACACACACCCGTTATCAACATTGAAACCGGGGGACGCGAAGGATCTAAACAGATGGGCGTGGGTTTGGTCCGTTTGTTGGTCGTTGTTTTGCGCCACCGGCGGTATGGTCAGCATGCCCCCCATGGGGAGAGGCGGACCGATGACGTAGGTTTACCTGGGCACCACCTTCAAACCCGAGATCTCCACGAACTTATTCTCCGAAGAGCTCCAGGAAGCCGTCCAGGCGAGCGTGATACGCCGCGCCCGCCTCGTCCTTCCTCCAAGAGGTCCCCTTTGCCGCCCCACATTCCAGATCTTCATCGTCCTCTTCAGTCTCCCACAATTATTGTCGCTTCTTCTCCTAATTCTCCTCCGTTCCCCCTCTCTTCCTCCCCCCTCCACCTCATCATGTGTCCTCGACGTCTCCTCTCTTTCCCAACCATCCTATGGTGTTGGGTCCTCGCTTTGAAGAGACAGCGCCCAACGTCCCATCTCCTCCTCCTCCCTCCTCCCATCCGTGCCTCTGCCCTCCGCATGTCCACCATTCCGGGACACCCCTCACACGTTTCGTGACCCCATAGGGAGCTCCACCGAAGGCTCCAATGGGAGGGTTCTCATGGCACCGCCGCGCCAAATTCGGCACACCCCTCACACGATTCGTGGCCCCATAGGGAGCTCCACGGAAAGCTCCAGTGGGAGGGTTCGCATGGCACCACCGCGCCCAATTCGGCACACCCCTCACACGGTTCGTGGCCCCATAGGGAGCTCCGCCGAAGGCTCCAGTGGGAGGGTTCGCATGGCACCACCGCACCCACTTCGGCACACTCCTCACACTGTTTGGTCCCATGGGGAGCTCCGCCGAAGGCTCAAGTGGGAGCGTCCGTATGGCACCACCGCAACCAATTCGGCACATCCCTCACACGCTTCGTGGCCCCATAGGGAGCTCCGACGAAGGCTCCAATGTATGGCACCACCGCGACCAAATCGTCACAACCCTCACACGATTCGTGGCCCTCTAGGGTGCTCAACCAAAGGTTCCAATGGGAGGGTTCGCATGGCACCACCGAACCCAGTTTGGCACACCCATCACACGGTTTGTGGCCCCATAGGGAGCTCCACCGAAAGCGATACCCACAATGCGGTACTCGCAGCTGCATATGGTTGGGTCCTTCGTCAGGCTGATTCCGAATCCTCGTCCTGCCTCCTCCTCCTCCTCCTCCTCCTCCTCCCTCTTCTCCGCCTCCTCCATCTCAGTCTCATCCTTGTACCTCTGTTGCAGGTGCCGCCGACTCCCACACAGCTCCCCATGATGCACGCGGAGCACATGGATTTGCATCCTCCTTGTCGTCGTCCTCCTCCCCTGCAGCAACTTGCCCTTGTCTTAGCCTTCTTCCACCTCTTCCTGCCACGTGGCGGGTAGCTGAAAATGGATTTCCTGGCCAGCTGCATGATGTTGAGCGAAGATTTGGCCCTCCTCCCAAGGCGTCTCAACAACGACCCATCACTGGCATGCGCTGCCTTGCCGGAGGGCGACAACTGAGACCGCAATCGTGGCATACGAGTCGGGGGGGAGGAAGAGAGAATGATCAGATGAGAAGGCTCCCGCTAGATCTTCTACGGTTCAAACTGATACCCTGTCGCCCAACTAAGACGTTCCATCAGGGCGGTCTGGGCATTTGGGTTCAAGGCTCTTTATGGCTTGTGGTCGTGAGGCCAGGAGGTTCCAACAACTATACACGGATGGAAGGCGGATAAGCTTCAAAGTCGTACTCTCGCCCGGCAGCACTTTGAATGTCATTGGTTCGTGAACGTCGAAACGTCCGACAACCTCACGAGTATGTGGCGGATCCATGATTCAAATGTCGGTATCGCCAGAGACTTTGTCTCACCTGTTGGCCCGAAAACATCCAACAGTTACGCGGATAGAGGGCGGGCGGGCTTTACAACTTGATTGCTCGCTAGAACATCAGTTTTGAATGTCACGGCGCTGACGCTTAGAGTTCCTGGCCCTTCCCGCCCTCGTCTTCCTCCTTCCTCTCCCCCTTTTCCTCCGAAGTAACCATACCCCCGCTCTCGTCCTCCAGTTCCTCCTCCTCCTCCTCTTCGACCTGCTTATGCGAGAGAGAGCGTGATCCACCGCCGCTTTACTGTGGAAAATTCCCCCCCTCTTCCTCCGGAACCGGGGGCCCCCCCCCCCCCTCCGAAAATCCCCCCCCCTGCTGGACCCCCTCGGCAAACCCCTCCCCTCCCCTAACCCCTCACCCCCCCCCCCTCCCTCTCGAAAACCAGGGGGGGTCACTACCGATTTGAACTCCCCCCCCCCCTCGAAAACCGGGGGGAGTCACTACCGGTTCGAACCCCCCCTCCCCCTCGGAAACCGGAGGGGGGGTCACTACCGGTTCGAACCCCCCCCCCCCGCTCACCGCCAGCAAACGACTCCCGGTCCCTACCACCGTCCGCACCACATCCCTCACTGTTGTTCCCAGCACCACTGTCCTCACCACCACTGTCCCCACTGGTTCCACCACCGTCCTTACTGTACCCACCAGTGCCCCCACCACTGTCGCACTGTCCCCACTGTCCCCACCACTGTTCCCACCACGGTTCCACTCTCCCCACTTTCTCCACGGCACCAACCACTGCCCGACTATCCCCACTGTCCCCGCTGTCCCACTGACTCCTCCGCTGTCCCACTGAGCTGTCCCACTGTTCCCACCACTGTCCCCAACTGTCCCCACCACTGTCCCCACTGTGCCTCTGTCCGATTGTCCCACCGCCGTCCTCGCCACCGCCTTCACCACTGTCCCCACCACCACTGTACCCTCCACTGTCCCACTGTTTCCACCACATTCCCACTGTCCCCACACCAGTGTCCCCACCACCACCGTCCCCACCACTGTCCACTGTCCCCACTTTTCCCACCATTGTCCTCACCGCTATCCCCACCACTACCGTCCCCACCACTGTCCCACTGTCCCCACCACTGTCCCGCTGTCACCTCACCACTGTCCCCACCACCACCGTCCCCACCACTGTTCCGCACCCCCCCTCGGTTTTCGAGGGGGGGGAGAAGGGGGGGGGGTCGAACCAGTAGTGACCCCCCACGGTTTTCGAGGGGGGGGGGGCTTCGAACCGGTAGTGACCCCCCCCTTTTCATGATGGACTGGGAGTGGGGGGGGGGAGGGGTTCGAACCTGTACCCCCCTCGGTTTTTCGGAGGGGGGGGGGAGGGGTTCGAACCGGTAGTGACCCCCCCCCGGTTTTCCGCCAGCAGCGGTAGAACACGCTCTTTCGCTTATGCTCATTCCTCCTCCTAACAGCTTGCACACGTTGTGAGCTCTCTCTGCCTCTCTCTGTCTGTTTGTCTCTCTCCTTCTCTCTTTCTCTCTCTCTCTCTCTTTCTCTCTCTCGCTCTCCTTCTCTGTCCCTGTATCGTTATCTCTCTCTCTCTCGCTCTCCTTCCCTTGAACAGTCGTCATTACAGTGCTGCTGACAAAAACAATAGTGGGACAAGGTGGCGATATGGTCACTGGTGGTGCCAGTACATCCTTGAAGACACGAGCAGAACTCGCTTATCATACACACTTTAGGAGCAGGATACACATAGACGGCAGGCAATACTGATAGAGAGTCTGCATGGACGCGGCAAACGCAAGGGCGCACGGGGATAAGAAAGAGAGTAGTAATGGCACGGTGAAGGCGGAATAAGGGCAGTGGACGGGGAGGAGGAGGAGGAGGAGGGGGGGAGGATACTGATAACGACAAGGAACCATAGTCCCCGCAGACGCGGGTAGGAGCGCGGGACTGCTCTCGGTTAGGACATCCCCAGCGGAGGCAGAAGGCCGTGGCAGGCTTCGGCCTCCCCTGAGCTCCGACGCTGCGAAACAAAATGCAACATCGTGCAACAATCCCGACCAGAGACCCAGACCCTATCCTTCCGCCTCATGTTCCAGGCCGCGTCGATCTGCGAGGGCCCCAGGGCCCGAAACTGGCTGACACAGATCGGCTCCTTTCGGCGCCTGGCTCAGCCGAGCGACTTCGAGCGTGCTCGTTGCACTTTCAACTCGCAGGCCTGTCGTAGCACCCACCACGAGGTGCCCAGGCCTGAAACTGGGCGAAACCGCCCGGCGCGAAAAAACTGCAACGCCAGGATTGCAGGGCCTCGCCACCGCTCGCCCCGAGGTGGGCCCCAGGCCAGGATCCCCGCGCCCCCCCCACTGCGAGGGGCTGCCCTGCGCCCCGGGACCCCCCCCCCCCCGTCGAGCCCACACGACGCCGCGGGCTCCCCAGGCCAAGATCCACCGCCCACCACTGCCGTCGGAGAGGACGAAGATGCAGGAGGGCGAGGAGGAGGCGGAGGAGGGCGCAACGGCAACTGCGCGCCCAGTGCGAACGACTCAACACGTATGCGACCTGCAGTACACCTGCAGCGACAAGCAGACGGGGCGAAGGCGGAAGAGACCGAGGAGGAGGAGGGGGAGGAGGAGGTGCACGATAAGCTTGACCCCGTCCCTGGATCCTGCCCCTGGACGTCCCCAGAGGTCTCTGAGGTCCTCGGAGGCCTCTGGAGTCCCCCACAAAAAAACTGAACTGCTCATCAGCATCGCAAGAGGACAATAACAGAAAGACGACCCCTCGATCCTCGAGGGTCGAGGTCAGAGGACCCTGGGATGGCAAGAAAAAATGAAACGTCGTGAACAAATCACGATCAGAGCCCCGGACCCCATCTCTATGCGTCACCCTTCGAGCCGCATCGATCTGTGAAGGTGCCGGGGCCCGAAACCAGGCGGAAACGCCTGGCTCGAAAAGGCTGAGACGCCAGGATCTCAGGGGGCGGGAGGGCGCACACAAGCTCGGAGCGAGGCGAGATGTGCCGCCTGGCCGCTGTCGTACTTCGGCGCGGCCGACCCCGCTGCGCTGCCGCTCGCCGAGGCACCGGGCCTCAGCTCCAGCACCTGGATGCCCAGGCCCGTGGAGTCCTGCGCCGCGGGCTGGCCGAGGCGCGGGGGAGCTGCCACCGCGGCGCTACCACCCGCAGCGCTACTCCGTCCTCTGCCTTCCCCCACATCTCCGACGATGTGCAGAGTTTCAGCGACATCGGGCTCGGCATTAAGTTCGTGAAGGACCTCGCTGTGAGCATGTAGTACCTCCCCCTGTTGCTGCACGCTGCCGCTATCATCAGCCTCGCCTTCGCGACATCTCCTTCTCGGTGTTCGGGGTGCCTCCTCAGGCGCAAGGAGGTGCACTCAAAGGTGATGATCAGTGTCTAATTTGTTCAATCGGTGTCTGTTCCGTGATTTCAGCCGTCAGGAGCCGTTCTCGAGCCCCGGGACCATCGAACATGGATCTGGGGCAGAACACTACCCCCAGTCAGGACCTCTGGGGCAGCGAACCGCCGACCTGGTCGTCCCGCTCCCACCCCTTCCTCGGCGAATCGAAGATGGGGCCCTGAGGAATCGGGCCCCGAGCATAGGAATGATGAACGAGCAACACTCGCCCATACCCATAGCGGGGTCAGAGGGAGGGGGACTGGCTGTGGGTATGGGTGCGGATTGTTGGGCCCGGGGTTGTCAGACCCTGGGTGAACACGCACCCATAGCTCATTCGCCTCCCCATGGGTATGGGTGCGTGCTGTTCGCTCAACCACTGTTTCAGGCCGCTCGTTCTCAGGGCTTCCAACCTCTTTTCGAGCTCGTGCCCAAAGCGTCCCCCGCTCTCCTCTCCCGATCCTCTTTCTCTCCCCCCCAGCCGACTGTCCCCCTCATCGCCCTCCTCCTCCTCCTCGCCCGCCTCCCTCATCCCCCCTTCTTTTATGTACCGTCACAGCTTCCTCCCGCCCCCTCCTTCAATTCACACTTCTACCCCTTTTGCTTGACCGCCGCTGTCCTTGTCACTTGCCCGTTCTCCCGTACGTTTCTGGTAGCTGCCCGCCGACTGGCCCCTTCTTCCCAGGACTTGTAGGCAATTGCACGTTTTCGCCCTGCGGGATGGAGCGCACGACCTGTTGATTATGTCGACTCATGCGCTCAGGCGCTCTGGTGGGTGCTCCTGCCCACGGCATGGCGCCCTTACTACAATCACAAGACAGTTCGCCGCCTTGGCCCCCCCGGCGGCCAAACGGCGAGCATAAATCGGGCGTAGCCCCGCACGCATTCCAATGCCCACGCTCCCACACTTCGTCCTTGTACTACTCGTATTCCTCCGCGTCATCCTCCCCATCCTGATCGTCGTCGTCCTCCTCCTCCTCCTCCTCCTCCTCCTCCTCCTCGTCCTCCTCCTTCTCCTCCTGCTCCTCATCGTTTTCCCGTCTTCCTCGTCTTCTTCCTGCTTCAGCATGGTTTCCTATCAATTGCGCCATGGGTTGCGCCCTCGGCGGCTGAGAATGAAGCCGTTTCCTGTCGGTTGCGCCGTAGGGTGCGCCCTCGGCGGCCGATAATAAAAACGTTTCCTATCGGTTGCGCCATAAGTAGCGCCCTCGGCCGCCGAGAGTTTTCCTCCTCCAGCAGCATGGCGCGCAGCACGCCAAGATCCGCTGCCTGCAGCTCCAGCCGCCCAGGCGGCGCGTTCGCCGCCACTGGGGGCCCGCAAAAACACGCCAAGATCCGCTGCCTGCAGCTCCTCCCGCCCAGGCGGCGCGTTCGCCGCCACTGGAGGCCCGCGAAAAGGCAGCCTCAACGGGCGAGGGGCGCGGGGAAGCAGGCGCCCGCGCAGGCAACCAGGATAGGTGCAGGCTGCGCGGGCCGAAAGCGTTCAGGGCAAAATGCCCGAGCGCGGCAAAGAAAGCGCCCTCGCAGGCAGCCGGGAAAAATGAGGAGCTGCGCGGGCGACCACGTCCTGGGCAGTGGCTTGCCCGTCCGCGGATCAAGACCTCTCTTGATATTGTCCGCCTTCCAAGCTCTCTCAGCTTGGGCCGGGGCCTTCTCCGCCTTCTGGGACTTCGCCGCAAGGCCCCTGTGCTTGCCCTTGACCTCCTTGGCGTGCAGGCTGCACCGCAAGCAGATCCTGTACCCGTGGAAGGTTCTCAGCTCGTGCCCGTTGGGACCCACCTCGTCCGCACCGCCTGAGCCTCGCACCTCAGGCTCTGGCGGCCTCGGCTTCGACTCCTGCTGGGTCGCGGTCTCGCTGGCGCCGCCCTGCGACGAGGACGCCGCCTCCATGGGCGCAGCCGCCAGGCCAGCCAGCGCCAGCGCTGCAGAGGCAGGGCGCTTGCGGGCACCGCTGGCGCCAGCAGCGTCGGGCGCGAACGGCTTGGCGTGGCAATGCCCCGCGCGGAACTTCTTGATCCCCGCATCCGTGAACGCCGGCCGCAGGCATCGGCGACAATGAACGCCACCTGGGACATTGATTATGTCGTGCTGCATGATGTACAATTTGGGCCCATTGGTAGACGGCTCCATGTAGTCGCACTCGAAGTCGCTGCGCAGATCTGCCGCCTCCGCGCCAGCGATCGCGACCCAGTAGACCATGGCGTCCAGAGTGAGCTCCCTGGTTCGCCTGGCCTGCCGATCGGCGGCTGGCGCTCTGAACTGGTCCGCCACGAACCTCGCGCACCTGTCTGCCTCGCGGTTGCCACGATTGCCAACTTCGACGTCCAGGAGAGCGCCGTGGCCTTTGACCTTCACGATGGAGATCCTAGTCTCCGACACCGCCAAAGTCGCCCAGCGCAGTCCAGATTAGCCTCCAGACCTCCGCCCAGGCCGCCTTGCGGGAGGCGGTGGCAGCCCTCCCGCGCGCCGGCAGCCCGTTGACCACGTAGGAGGCGTCGAAGTAGGCGCGGATGGGTGCGACCGAGTGCCTCAGGATGGCCAACAGCGTCAGCAGCTCGGCGCCCTCGATAGTCTGCAGCGGCCCTGGCAGCGGTGCCCCCCAGGCCCTGGCGGACGAGCGGGGCCCAGGGTCGGCCCCCTCGTCGCCAGGTGGAAGCTCCACGGCTGCGCGCGCCGACATGGCCATCGAAGTGTCCGACTCGCATCAGCAGCCGTCCGCGAAGACCTCTGTGTTCATGAAGAGCACGCCGTCGCCCTTCATCCACTGCAACCCGTCCAGGAAGTTATCCAGCGGCGGTCTCCACACCACCTGTGGCTCTGGCAGCAGCAGGCGCTCGGCGGAGATGGTGACGCTGGCCTGGAAGGCCTTGAACTTCTCGAGCTCAGCTGGCAGGGCTGTGCTGGGCCAGCTGTTCGTGCAATCTAGATGCCGATGCCGCAACGTGCCCCCAACATCAGGGCGGTGATTGCAATGCGGTGTCGGCGCGAAGCGAAAGGGGGGCGCCGTGCCTCCGCGAACTGGGCCACTGCCCTTTGACCAAAACAGACCTGGCGTATCCTCGCTGGGCCTCCGTGAGCGACCTCCACTCCTTGCCCCCAGGCGGTGCGCCCTTACCGTGGTGGATCCAGCGTCTGATCTGGTCGACGAGAGCCCCGTGCTTGATATCCCCGTGGTTATCATTGGCCGAGTGCTCGAGCTGCCAACGCTGAATGTCGAGCTTGAGCACCTGACTGATGTACCAAGGTGACATGTTGCCGACATTCAGACACCCGTTGCCGTCAGGCCTGCCCCACAGCTCGAAGTCGCGCAGCGTGTAGCCGAGTCGCTTCAGCGAGAGCACGGCAGCCCCAATGGGTCCTTTCGCCTGGCCCAACCTGGCGATGTCCTCGGCGCGGTTGAAGGTGACCCTGAGCTGGCTGATCGGCAGCCACTTCTCCCAGATAGCCCTGGCCAAAGTGCCGACAAGCTGGAGCGTGGCGCCGCGCGCGGGATCTATCTCCGTCGGGCCTCCTAGCATCCTCGACCGCCTTCAAGATCAAGGACCTCGTCTGCTTCTGCCCGAAGTCCGACGGCCCCGCGCAGGACGCCCCGTATATAATGCTCGGCATGAGCCCTGCGTGCACCACCTCAGCGGAAGCCTGCCGTCCTCTACAAAGCCCCAGAAGTCGTCGAGAAGTGGCAGCCTGGCCTTGGCGAGCTTCAGTCTGTCCTTCCTGACCTACGCGTTGCGTTTGCCAGCCTCCGCGTGGTCCGCGCCCAGGCTCCGCGCGCGCCCAGCTCCTTGCACTCCAGCGCTTTGGAACTGCTTGTCCAGGGGCCGCTGCCTGAGCTTTGCGTTCGAGGCCGGGGCCCTCGATTTCTTGGCTGCAACCCTCAGCTTCGTCTTTGCGAACGCCTTGACCAGCGCCCTGCCCTGGCGTCAGCGGCGGGGTCCTCAGCGACCCTGTCGCTGCCGCCCCAGCGCTGCAGCACCGCATCGTCGACCGCCACCGCGGGGGCGACCGCCGCGCGCTTGGCCCGCATCTCGTCGAGCGGCTGAATGAGCATGAGCTTCATGAACGTCGCGGCGAAGGCGTCGCCCGCAAGCGCCGTCTGGAGCACGCTCAGCTCGTTGGAGCAGCACCCTTCCAAGCAGATGACCCCCGGCATCCTATAGAAGTTAACTTGCAGCTTGGCAAGCCACAGAGGGAAGTTGTATTTCAAGCAAGCCCCGATGAGCTCGCGATGGAGGATCCGCTCTAGCTGTTGCCACGCAGCCACGTCCCGTGGCTCTCCGCCCCCCATCGCGTCGCTACTCCGCGGCGAAGTCGTCCATGCATGCATGTTGGGCCACTCGCAGCGCCCATCGATCCCGACCAGCAGGTCGACCAGCCCCTCGACGCCCTCGTCGTCGAGCACCTGCGGCTCTCGAGGGCGCAGCGAGTCGAAAGAAGATCCTGTCGCCTCCTCGAAGCTGCCGATGACCTTCCTGGCCTTCTCTGCCGATGGGCGGGGTGGCCTCTCGCCCAGCTCGCATGGCCAGACCAGGTCCTCGTGCCTCGTGAAGTTGCCGTTGGGCCTAGGGGCCCCCGCAATCAAGCTCCCTGTCCATTCCTTCGCTGAGGCTCTGACAGTCTCCCGGAGCGAAGGAGGGGGGCCGTCGAGGGTCGCGCCCCGGGGCCGAGGGCCCCAGCCTTGCGGAGGCTCGGCGAGGGCGCGCAGGGCCCCTGTA